TAAAAATAAAAAGATAAAAAGGTTAAGTTATTTTTTTTAAATTACATTACTTATGAGAGATTTAGATAATAAACACCAAGTATAAAAAAATTTTAAATCATAGAAAGCACAATCGCGAAATATTCTGGTTCAAAGATACTTCATGACCAAACTTTTAGAAAAAAAAAAAATGAGGTGATAAATGAGCTCTTTTATAGGCCTGTTTTATGAGGGGGAGACTTAATGTTTTATATTTTAATTGCAAAATCCTTCTCATTGGCTAGTCAAGGAAACTTGAATAGACTTGTGCGCAATCTATTATTCTACTAATTTGAGTTAATGTTTCATATTTGTATTGGTGTTTATATCTATCATCTTCCATAATAATGTGGTTTATTAGAAAAATCATCAATATAAAAATATAAATAAAATAAAATTATAAGTGCTAAATATCTATTACAATTCCAGGTACACAATCAAATAAACCATCAAGAGATATTCCTTTAAAAACAATAAATTTTACAAAATTTGAATCTATAGACAATTTAAAAGAATCTATTTTTAAACACATAAACAAAAAAGAATACAATAATATTGCCAATGATGTTGACAATAATATTGGCATTAATAATTTAATCATTAATGAAAATAATGTGTCAATAAAAACAAAACATAATGAAAAACTTAATAACACAATTTTAAACACTAATACGCATACACATGAAAGTAAGCCAACCATTGTAGATATGGAAGGCAACACAATTAATATGTTATCTCATTTAATTAGTTCTGATAACAAAGAAGTCTCTAAAATAATAACACAATATAATAATTTACAGTTTAATGATATTGTTGCAATTAAAGCAGCAGATGAAGAATATGTAATTGAGAATTTTATTTTTCCAAATTTAAATAAATCTAATAGTTTAACACAAAAAGTAGAGTCAAACAAACAAATAGATAATTTCAATTTTATAGCACCAGCATTAATTAATATCAAAAACCTTTATTCAAATTCTTTAGTCATTTCAGACAAAAATTCAAATAATAAAAATGAAAAAAATCATATGTTAATCCAAAGTAAAATAAATTTATTAAAGGTCATTGAAAATGTTCAACATTTTAACATTATACAATTCAATTGTAAGTTTTTACAGGTATATGTGAAACCATCAAGTCGTTTGAAATTAGATTCGACTTATTTTTATTACATTCGTAATACTATGAAAATAACTCAAGATTTTAAAACTATAAGTTTGCAAAATATATTTAATAAAATGATTTCATTTTTATTAGGTAAACCTGTACTTTACAATTATAACTTAAATTCTTATATGAAAAGTATTAATTTTAGAAGAAACATTTTATATTCTAAAAGTATATTTTATAATTCTTTAAATAAATATTATTGGTCTTTTCAAAACTATACACATTCTTTTGTTAAATACATCATGAAAATGATTTGCATTAAGCATGTAATTTTTATTTTTGACCCTGGTGGTTAATATTTAATATAATTATTATCATCACTTAAAAAAGGTTTAACATTGTATTACTAACATAAAAAAAAAATATCCATATCAAAAAATTTATACTTTCTTTATTTTTAAGTCAAATAAATATTACACATTATATTACTTATATGTAAATTATTCATAATTTATAAATTATTATAAATATACAAATCATATGAAAGCAAAACTTTCTTTATTTAAATGAGTTAATGAAATATTCATTTACCATATTTAATATTTTTATATTATACATATTTAATTACACCATGTCTACATGTAAACATTGAATATCTTAATATGTAATTTTATATTTCACAAAATTGTACTATTTATACAATCAGTAATTGTAATTTTATAATTGGTTCATATAACAAATAAATTTTTTGAAAAACATAACACTTGTAAAGCAAGTTTCAACAATTTCAAATCATTAAAAATACAAAAGATCGATACGAATTAAGAAAATGCAATTCATACTAGTAATGGTGGTTAAAATAATTAGTTAGGCAATGATGAATCAGCTTCACCAGATGAAGACTTCGGAAATCAAATTATCAGTAAAAACTAAGGGACCAAGTGCTCATATAATATCAGTACTTACTAAGAAAATCAAATAAAAGAAATCTATTTGTGTTTGCAAAATTTGTTTGATTTTGACATATGGTTTCAAAAGAAACATACAACTACACAAAGAAAAATCATATATTTTCAATTTGAATAGTACTTCTATAATTATCATGTACAGAACCAAAGAGTAATACTTTATAATTACAAAAGCAAAAATTCTAGAAGAACAAAAAACGTCTGAACTTATTATTTTTAATGACAATTACTACGTATGGAGAGAACAGGACGATGATTTTTCAGACAACATTACACATTTTTTTAAACAATGTTTTGAATTAGTCTTATCACATTATTATTACATAAATTTAAAAAAGTTTATATTGTCTTATCTTTTAATATTATATGTGGCACCATACATACTTATACACTATCATACTGTTATTTTTTATGTATTCTATAATTTTTTAATCTATCTTTCAAATGCACTTGCTCATATTATTTACTTTTAAATAATATTTAATATTCAAATTAATAATTTTTAATCATTATATATCATAAATACTAAATTTATTAATCAACTACTGTTGCACTATATTATTATTCAAATGTTCTATTATTATTTTCATTTCTACCACTGTTGTACATTTTAACATTAATTATAACTTTATATTATCTTATGTATTTAAACTATTTTATTGATAATCTAATATTATTGTGCTACTGTTACATAATTGATATTCAATATTTAACTATATTCTTATAATCACATTATATTGTAAAAATATTAATAACTATTTTATGTCATAAAAATATTATTTTCATATCTATGTAAAAAAGTTGTATCTTTGCATTACGCATCTTACAATTATCAATGTAAAATGTATAATCTGTATTTTAAATAACTTGTAAACAAACAAATAATTTATCTGTCATAACAGATAACAGATATTTATCAAATCATTTTACAGCAATTTGCAAGAATAAAAGTAGTAAGTAATTTTATGTTATCCTAATTATTTGGAGTTAATAAATTTGAGTAAAGGATGACAAAGCAATAGATCATTTATTAAATTAATATCTTAAAGTGTCAATTTTGACTGGTTGGTTAAAGAAGTTATACATAATCACGTTATATGGTATTCGTGAACTGGCTCTGCCGTTTCGTTGCCTTAAAGATGATTTAAAAAACCTAGCGTGATTTCTACTGTATAAATTAGGCTCTGGTATTCGTGAACTGGCTTCGCCGTTTCGTTGCCTCTTAGGACATTAAAAACTAACCAGACAAAAGTTTATTACACCTCGAATAGAGGTACTACGTTTATTATTTTTATATCTACTTGTCTTTGTCGTTCTAAACCATCGAACCATACGACCTCGATAGAACCACAATATCAGGTTCTCACTATATGCAAAAACCCAAATCCCCATCATTATTTTTGTTATTATCATTTATTTTCATTTTATTAATTTTATTTTTCTTTAATTATAACAATTTACAAAGTTCTAAAATTGATTTTATAACTGCACATGATATGGTTTCAACATGTTTTTTACATATTTCATCTTTCAGAATTGAGGAACATTTTTTAAAAATAAAATGTAGTGCAAATGAATCGTGTGAATAGTTTGGAGGCAAAAATGACTTTGAGCAAGAACGTATCAACTTTGAATATATTGAGCATTGAGCACAATATAGAACAAAAAATTAACTTTAATAATGTGATAAATACATTTACTTTACTACTGGAAAAGCGCAGAAAAATTATGTAGAATTCTATGCTTTTACAATATTTATTTTGTACTACTTTTATTTTTGTATATTATGATAAAAATAAAACTTAATTCAGGTGTGAATTATTTTTGTATTGGATTAGAATTTAAAATAATATCCTATTGTGGAAATGAAAGCAGTCATTGAAAATTAAAATTAAATAAATTTACTGTAACTATAAATTTAAAAACTATAATAGGTAATAAATATTTGTAAATCTACTAAAAATTAATTAAATATTTCTAGTAATTTTTTTAGTTGAATATCAATTTGAATGTAACAAATATAAATTAGTTTTGAATTTTAATTAATAATTACTAGTTATAACTTATGTCATTTAGTTATATTGAGTGTTGGTATAAAAGTGTGATATAAATGTTTTTGTTAGTAAATATAAAACTATTAATAATCATATTTTATTGAAATATAACACGAAAATATTATTTTAAAAAAGAGCAAGTAAATTAGTTGACTTTGGAAAGTAAATAACAGTTATTTAAAAATACTATCCCTTAAAGATGATTAAATCATAAGATGTTCTCGTCCGAATAATTTCTTAAATTTATCAATAACTTCAAATTTAGAATTAAGTGATTTTGTGTAAAACTGATAATGCATCAAATTTTGTAAGGAATTTGTTGAATTTAGTGATACTTTAGAGGCTGAACATAAAGTTATGGAATTTGTATCAATTTTTGATAATCTGAAAAATTTAGATTAGAAATATGATAATGATATGATTAAAAGTATTTTTTACCTATATATTAGAATATATGCAAGTTTTTTTTAAATTTAATTGCAACCTCAAATATTGAAACATTTGTTAATGGCCAAATTATTCAAGTTTTATAATCTAATATAAATCATCTCATTTTAATTCACAAAATATTTAGTTTAGCCATTTTTGAACTTATCACAAAAGATATAAAATTAAAAATTGAGTATTAAAAAAATGACCGAACAACATTTATTAATTAGATGACTTTCAATTTTCTTCAAAATTAACCTATGAAATTAAATATGAGTATTATAGAAATATGATTGACCAATAAATATTAAAAATCTTTACTACCCTAACATCTTAAATTCTCAACTAACTATGCATCATTGTATTAGTAGAATTTTTATTAATGATTTTATCAAAGAGTTGGGTTGGGTTACCTATAAAATTTTTTTGTGATATAAAATTAATTATAAACTACTAATTGTAATAATATAGTATTAGGTTTTCTTTATCTTGAATAAATAAACAAAACTGAAATATTATATTGAATATAAAATATTAGTTTAATTTCATCATCAGACTCATAATAATTATTGTCGTTATCTCCATTTACAGGTTTTTAACTATATCTCATTCCAACAACGGATCGAAATGCTGTCATCATGAGAATTATGATGTTTATAAGTTATAGTATGCACTTAAGTATTACCATTGTGTTATACACTATAGTATTACTTATTACTTAATAATTAGTTAAGTTAAAAACAAACAATTAATATTAAAATCGAGTATAAAATTTCATTTAAAAAATCATCTAAATTGTTAAGATCACTTCAAAAATAGTAATTGTAAATAAAAAACTTATAAAACTCTGAATTCATTTAAAGATTAATATCAATACTATTAAAAAGTATGTTAATTAAAATTTTTGTAAATAAACTGTTTAATACCCATTTAATTAAACCCATTGTTTATTATTGTGATATGAAACGGCGTGTCAGCTATGCAATTTAGCTACATGAATGTCTTAATTTCAATAATTTGTGAATTATTTCTTGTAAGCTGAAAAAATTTTTTAGACTCGATGCATAAATACTAGAAGACTTTTAGATAAAACTGGCACAATGATATTTTACATATACTAGATCATAATTAATACTAAACCATTTTAGTCAGAATTAATGGAATTTTGTAATCCTAAAATAATTTTATCAAATCTTGACATTTTTCCTTCTTTGGGCAAGGAAGACTATGAACCTATTATTAACATTTCTACAAATTCACTTCAGTACAATATTTTAATGAAAAGTACAATTTGTCTGTCACAGTAGGACAACAAAAACTATTGTTCTTTTTAAACTTTGATATAAACTTGTAAATAATTTCAATATAGTTAAAATGTTAGTATAGTATGAAAAATTGATTTTTTTCTAATGGTAAAATCAAATGTAATCATTTTTCTTAAAATACAATAAAATTTATCAGTTCTAATATGACAAAATTTCATAATTAAGTAGCAAAGTTAAAAAATCGAAATGCAGCTAATGATGGAAATGATTAAATTTTAATAAAATTCAAAACTAATACCCAACCAGAGTCTTTTTTTTGTAGGAATTGTTTACTATTCCTAAATTTATTATGAGTTAATTAAAAAATTAATAGTTTTAACTTCGATGTGAAGTATTATATATACTAAAATGTGTTTGATTTAATTTCTTTGTCTGTTACCATTCAATCTCAGCTCTCGCTGGCCCGATTTTGATGAACAATATGAAATATGATTAACAATTATTTTTAATTTTTAAATATTTAAGTGGCTTATAATAAAAGAATTCAACGAATTAACTCTCCATGACAATCATGACTTTATCATATATAAACGTTGTCTATGTTGACATTGGGATCACTTCGTGTTTGCTCGTCAAAATAAGCTATCATCTCGTGTAAGTATTTAGAGTTATTTAACTAATTATTAATATGGCAAGCGAAAACAATACGGATAGTCATATTTATGAAACAAATATGAATGTTGTGAAACGCAGAATTGAAGAATTCTGGAATCGTCGTTTCATGAGTTCTAATTTAGTCGTTGATAGTCCAGAAGATCCCCAAACATCAAGACAGTCTAAAGGTGAAATTAATAACTGTAGACACTATTAAGATTAATTAAACTAATTATCAAGAGACGTGAAAACGATTAGATATAAAATATAACAAGAAATTAAAAAAGATTATTCTCTTTTTGAAAATAATGATTATTTTTTTATTGTAGTTAAAAAAATTTTATTATTATTCACTATTTCAGTAAATTATAAACATTAGAGTAGATGTAATATCAACGTCAATGCATTTTTTCACCGTAAACATTTTCAAAATTAACTATTTAATTAATAACTTTTAAAATAATATTCTCTTAACAGCAAATTCTAGTGGAAATATTAACACTGAAACAAATACAGTTAAGCCAAAAAAACCAACCTATCGTAAACAGCTTGAAAGCGATGAAATTATTGCAGAAAAAATGGTAATTAAAATTGTATAGATATATCGACCCCTACAATTTAGTAGAAATAATTTAATATTTGTTATTATTTAGAACAGCTGTATAAATGTATTATTTTTAGAGATATTAGTAAAAGATGTTAAATAATTTCAATTTTAATATTTTAATCTTTTTGATTTCCAATAAGATTTTTAAAGAAAAGAGACTTCTTATTGAAGATAATAATAACATATTAATTATATTCCAATTATTCATTTTAATTTGTCATTGGTTACGCCTAGAAATTGATACAGCGAGGAGATATTGGAACACTTATTAGGAATCAAAAATCTGGAAAATATGGAGAGAAACTATCAGTTCCAGCCAAAAAAAGTTATATACCAATTGTAAATGACAAAGCACCAAAAATACCAGCATATTTATTAGGAAAAGTAAATTTTATTCTGCATTTTTTTATATTCAAAAAGTATATAAGTAGCCTAAACATATCTTTTGACTTAACGTAGATTTTTTAAATAAATTAACTAAAATTTATCCTATAATTTAATATGTTCTTATGATTCATTAAGAGTTTTCATAAGAATCACTTGCATCGCAACAAATGCGATGAAAAAAAGCAACCCATAGAAGTATCTTCCAATGATAATGGTGGCCCTAATATAGAAAGTAACTTATCCGAAGAACATGATGAAGTCATTAAAAGTACATAAAAAAATTTAAACTACATTTCGATTATTGAAACAATTATTTTATACTTTAAACTCTTAATACTTAAAGAATTAGAAGCTAATAATGAACCTTCAAATGACGTTACAATACCTGAAGTGTCTACTGATAAAGTAAAAGAAACACTAGAAGAAAAAATAATTCATTTAGAACCCGCAAAATATGAAGTAAAAGAGCAACTCCTAGAGATATCCTCTTCTGAAAGTTCAAATTTAAAAAGAAAGTCATCCGATAAAGATGAGAAAATCATAAAAAGTACACAATAATTTTTTTTATAAATATTAACTTGCATATTATGTTTATTGAAATTATTTTCTTATATTTTAAAACATAAATACTTTTAGAGGCAAAAATTAGTTCTGAACTTTTACATGCGACAACGTCAAATGACGTTCCATTACCAAAAGTGTCTACTGATAAAGTAAAAGAAACTCCAGAAGAAAAAATAACTCATTTAGAACCCACAAAATGTGGAGCAAAAGAGCAACTACAAGAGTTATCCTCTTCTGAAAGTTCAAATTTAAAAAGAAAGTCATCCGATAAAGATGAGAAAATCATAAAAAGTACACAATAATTTTTTTTATAAATATTAACTTGCATATTATGTTTATTGAAATTATTTTCTTATATTTTAAAACATAAATACTTTTAGAGGCAAAAATTAGTTCTGAACTTTTACATGCGACAACGTCAAATGACGTTACATTACCAAAAGTGTCTACTGATAAAGTAAAAGAAACTCCAGAAGAAAAAATAACTCATTTAGAACCCACAAAATGTGGAGCAAAAGAGCAACTACAAGAGTTATCCTCTTCTGAAAGCCCAAATTTAAAAAGAAAATCATCCGAAAAAGATGAGAAAATCATAAAAAGTAGACAATAATTCTATTTTAAAAATTTGACCTTTCATTAGTTTATTGTAACAATTAAGCACTATTGTATACATTAATTTTTTAGAGTCTAAAGTTAGTTCTGAAGTTTCGCCTTCAAATATGAATGACGTGTTGCCTGTCGTGTCCGTTGTCAAAATTGATGAAATACCAAAGAAAGAAATAGGTAAAATAAAATTATTATATTTTATTGATTTCATTAATATTTATTTCACATAGAAACATCCATAACACATATTTTGTTTAACTATGTTTAATCTTATATTTCAAAACCTAGGAATAATTTTACTCATATTAAACCATTTAGCTAGCTTAAGTAATTTATGAGAAGTTTTTAACTCTTGTAGAAGTGACGCATGATCCGAACACAAATGAACTAGATCAGTATAACGCGCCTTCGTTTAAGTCCCCTAAATCTTGGTACACTTCGGACACAATTAATGATTATCTCAAATTGATAGTGAAAAGGTCCAATGGCGAAGTTCATGCTGTCGTTACCGACTTCATACCAGCATATCTTCGAGGAGGTTATCCAGCTGTCAGAAGATGGATAAAAAAAGATATCCATACATTAAAGTTTCTTTTTGTGCCAATGAATGTACTTGGCGGACATTGGATATTGACTGTGGTAAACGTACCCGAAAGAACTGTGACATCATATGACAGTCTCAAGTGTTATGATGGTCCTTATTCTATGGTACTGAAGGAGTATCTAACTGACTGGGAGATGGATAAAAAAGGAGCAGCTTCATCGTGGACTTTAAAAATCGGTGAGACGACTCGTCAAACTAATGGGTATGACTGTGGTCCATTTACGGTCGAGCTAGCAGAAAAAATGTCACGTGGAGACACAACTCCTATTAATGCGAGTCTTATGTCTTCTGTAAGATTAAGACACAGAGAAGAAATTATAGCCGGCCAACTATTTCTATAATTTCTCATGAAAGATATTGCTTAAATGGCTTATATAAAGTTCCTAATTTTTACATTAAATTGATAATTTTGTTAATACGCTTTTATACTTCCTAACATTTTCTTACGTTTTATAAGCTTAGTGTTATTATTATTTTTTGTGATTTTTCTTTGTTACATTGCTTTATTAAATAAATCTATATTAATTGTAATAAATAATATATTAAATGTATAAATGTATTAAATAATTTTATATTTAAATAGCTATGTTGTGTTAATACAAAAACTATATAATAAACATTTATAGGAAAAATTAGTGAAAAAGTTGGTCAATTACAAATTTTAAAGTTAATGGATTTATCTACCATAATAAAAATTTAATTTTAAATGATTGATGATTCATAAAGAGTTTCACTTTTTTTTTTAAATTTATAACTAAATTTGTAATTTTAAAAATTTGTTTGCAGTAATTTTTTATTATGATCGACAAATAAACGGAATAATGGAGCAGCATAAAACTCATTAGCTTAAAAATATATAAAATTCTCTCCAATACTCTTTTGTTTCCACGGTCAATATTCAATTTAAAAAATTAATTTGATGTTACACTAAAAATAAACGTCATAATCTCTTTTTTCGCTCATTTACAATTTTTAAAATAGCGATGTAGAATAAAATGTTTTTGGCAATCAAAATAAAATAATAGCCCACTTCCAAAAAAAAAAAATCAGTTTCTGGTTACGCCATTGATTACATTAACAGTAAATCAATGTCCTGTCACCGTTTAAATATACTAA